CCAGTATATAAAGACTTGAAATCTCAAGGCAAAGGTGCGCGTGATTATCCTACTCACTAGCACTCAAGCTCTCAAGCATCCAGCTCGCATTCACAGCATAAACACTGACTTAAGCATCGGAGCGACCTCGCTGGGTTAGCTACCCCGAGTTCTTTGATATATTGTTTTGTAGATCAATCCAACTCGCTGCCCATTTGGAATTCGGATCGCCCTCCAGCTAGGAATAGCTAGATCGCGCACCATCACAACACGATAAAGGCTGTTCAAACGAGGCTTTGCACTGACTGAAGCCGAGTTCTTCTAAACTTCCTAAGGGTTAAGGCAGCAGGGCTCAGTGCAATTACGTCTTTGTTACACAAAATCTAAGTTGAAGGACCCTTATAACCTTTTTAATTGGGCAAAGCCAAATTGATTTCAACTCAAACATTATTTTTGGGTTGTTATTGTTATATAAACTTGTATTGATTTTTCTGTTATTGTATATTAATTTTTATTATGGTTGGATAAATTGTTGTTAATTTTTATTATTCTAAATTGAATTTTATTTCTTATTATTTTATATTATTTTTTACATAATTTTATTTTTATTTTACTAATTTTTATTATCTTTTGATCATTTCCATTTATTATAAATGGAATTTAAATATAGGTGAACCATACAAAAAATAGTTTCAAGTTAAAACATCTAATGATACACATATACTTGTTAATTTGTTTTAATATTGCTTATTAATGATTATTTTAATTTTCCTAGTTTATGTTAGTAATATTTCTGTTTGACTAACTTTATGTGTTGGCATTATATACTATTAATTATTAATTTTTACTACTATTACATATATGCTATTTTATTAATTTAATATATTAACATGGTAGAATTTCTATGTAACTCCCCATCCGGCCCATCCCCGACCTTTGTTAAGGAGAAAATCGAACCTTCGTCTCCAATGGGGACGAGTTCTTTATCGGAAACCTGAACCCCGAAGTTCAGTATTTTTAAACTAAAAGCATTCTTTGGGAAAAATGATTTACTTAAAAGAAAGAAAAATTCTTAACTATCATCGTTAATCACCAAGATAACATAGAAATCGAAATTTATCTAATATATGGAACATCATTATTGTAATTAAACAGAATTATTCTCAAAATTTGTCAAACCATTTCCCCATCAAGGTGGGCACTTCATTCCCCATCCCCTTTGCCTATTATCGATAAGATATCCTAGTTTTTTCTCACCCTTGCCAAAGCAGTCCCCATAACAACCTTATCAAGTTGGGAGGCTAGATACAAAGCGATTATCCTAATTAACTAAATTAACTTGTGTTATGTTTATTAAGTTTGGTTTTGTTAGTTAATTTAAGTTGACTAAGTCAATTTAATTGATTAAATTAGGTTAATTAATTTATCGCATTAGGCCAATTGAGTTAAATTTAATAAGCTACTAATTTACATAATTGAATTATCTTTAGTAAATTAGATCCACTTAGTATAATAATCAGTTTTGGATACATTACATTTATTAAAAAATTGATAGAAGAGAAAGGTGGAGACAGTAGGAAAAAGAGAGAAGAGGGATAAGTGTAATGACAGGGAGAGAGAGAGAGAGAGGTGAAAACATTAAAAGTAAAATTAAAAATTTATTTAGTGTTACCAAGTTTTATTAAATATAATTATTTGAAATAAAATTTAAATTGACTTTAATATAATTAAAATTAATTTTAATATTAATATTTTTATAAATTTCATTATTTCTTTAATTAATTTATATTACTTTTAGTTTCTAAATAGAATTTAAATGGATTGGAATTACAACCAAGATTTAAAGTATCGATACGTATTGGCCCATATTGTTTCGGGACCCCTACAGTGGATGTATCGGAGGTCTAACCGATTCAAGGGGTAGAGGAACCCTAAACCGGCCCCCCTGAACTAGTTGCGAAAAATATAAAAAAACAATAAAAATGAGTATTGATTTTTGAACCTTGATTACAACTTTTATTAGTTGTAACAATTACTAATTATTTTTAATTATAATAAGATTTTATAATCAATTATTATTTTTTATTACTTTGATTTAATTAGTATTTAATTATTGTCTATTTTTTTCTTATTAGTATTTAGTATATTAGATATTTTTTTGTTATCTTATTTTAACATTTAAAGTTTTACTTAAACATGTATATGGAAGGTGGAGGGAAATAGAGAAAGAGAAAATCTATTGGGGATGTGAGATAGTATTTAAGGGATATTTTAATAAAAAGTTTTAGGTGAGAAATTTTATGAAAATGAGATGTTTTAAGAGGAGTGATTCAATAAAATAACATCATTTATAGCAGAATTAAAAGATAAAAAAGTAGAAAAATACAGAGAGAGAATTAAAATATGGATTTTGGAGTATGATGTGGATCATTTTTTTAATTATATAGTTAGATTCTGTAGTAAAACAAACCTAAAACTGGCTCTAGTTTTTTAGACAGGTAGGTGGCTGAGCAGTCAGACCATCTGGGCCCAACCGGGGTCAGAAAAGGCTGGATTGTGGATTTATATCTGATTTATCCTTATTCAATCATCAAATGAAAATACAAAAGATAAACAATCAAACATGGTACGATGATGCAGTGTTTTGTTTTAAGCAATATTGTTGTATGAAATTGGTATATGGCGCCCATTCCACTGTGGTCCTGGTTCTCTCCAGATGGCACTTCAACGCCTTAAACCAAAGTTCTCTGAAGATTCTCACCCAAAAGGGTTAATTGGCTAAACCTCCTCTCTTCAAAATTTAAAAGAGGCCAGTAGGATGTCTATTTCAAATGGAAAAGCGCGTGATCGAAAACATCAAACGAAGTAGGGTTGTCTTTGGTAACATTATTGTTTCTTCATGAAATGTTTGGGATTGATCACTAGAAATTGGTCTTAAAATATGAGTGGTCATATCATATAATAAGAAACATTTTGGGTTGATTAATACAAATTGATGTTTTTATTTGAAACAATGTTTCATAAGAAACGGGAATGGAATCCAACACAATTCTAACAATACAGCCTAGTAATTTTCAATTCAAACTAGAAAGAAAGAAAGAAAGAAAGAAGTAATTTTCGATTCAAGTCTATCTCGCGGCATCAGTTGTGAATCACAACTGTTGGGCTGAGATTCTGTTTTTTCTTCTTTCTGTGCTTGGTAATTGGAATATCAGCACAAAACTACTTTCAATTTGATGACAAATCTCCATCCTTAGTGAATACCTAGCAATTATACAAGGGATTCCATCGACTATATTGCATAGAAACAAGGTGGATCCAATGTGATGTTATGAATTGATTTTGCTGATTTGGGTAGCATTAGAAGATGAATTGGTATGATGACAAATTCTGGGTCCCCCGAGAAATACATATATGACATGAGCCATCCCCATCTATTACACTTACACATACATGCTTATCCAGCATATATACATACAGAATATATAGCAACTTAACATTGTGGTTTGAGAGCAAAAGATGGCTTGCTTTCATCGTTATCAATTCATCATATTTATTATTACCTAAGTCTTGTCCCAACTAGGGGTTAGCTATATGAATCCAATTTCACTGTTCATTCTGCATAGTGTTTAATCAATTGTTAAATTATGAGCGCTTAAATCAGTTTTTAGGGTTTGTTTGATTCATAGTTGGAATCGGAATCAAAATCCTCTAGATTCAGAATCAGAATGGTCCATTCTCAGAGTTTGCTTGGTTCAGGCAGAAATGAGAATGGAAATTAAAATCAGCAGGAGTGGGACTTCATTCCCAAGGAAGGGCAGGGAAAGGCCATTCCTTCGAATGGGGGAATGCCATTCCAGCAGGAATGAGAATGAGATTCCAATTCCGCCCAACCAAACAGTTGGAATCGGAATAGCCCATTCCAATTCCGATTCTAGACTGACCCTTATTCCTGTAAACCAAACGGACCCTTAGTTTCTTACTACTTTCATGTCCTTTTTGGTCTGTTGTAACTCTTATTCTGATAGTTGCTGGAGCTGGTCATTTTTATTTATTTATTTATTTACTTTTGGTCTCCTATGCATGTGATCAAGCCATCTTAATCCATTTATTTTTCATTTTATCATCTATTTGAGCTATTCATGACTTCATATCCAATCCTATTTTTCTAATTTTCTATTCATTGTCTCATCCATCTTGGTGTATGCGTTTCTATTACACTCGTTGCTGGACTTGCAAATATTTTACAATAATTAGAACATTCTAATTGGTATGGATTGATTTATTGCATTAATTTACTTTCTATATTTATTTATCTAAAGAATAATTTAAGATGGAAGATGGATGGAACAACTTGTTGTAATAAGAGCAAGCTTAGAATCCAGAATTTAGAGTGAGGATTACGGTGTTTGATTTAAACCAAGCTTTGAGTTGAACCTGAGCCTAATACGTAGGTTCATTTGCTAATTGAGTCGAGCTTAAACTTAATGAAGACCAGATTATGAAGCTCGTGGGCTTAATCATACTTATATTATATAATATTTTTAATTTTTTTATATATAATCACAATAATTATATGTATACTTTTTAATTTTTGTATATGTATAACAAGGAATGATTATGTATAATTTTTTATTTATTTACATGAAGGTTGTTGGTTCACTATTGAGCTCAAACCAAGCTGAGATCGGTTTGAATCTAGCGAAATTCAAGCTCATGTCTCTAGCTTTTCCGTGGTGGCTCGGTCAATGAAGAATCCCTCCCAAACGGGTCCTTGAAATGATGCAGAGTTAGAACTTAGAAGCGGCCCCGGCTGCACGCTTCTCCCGGTGGCAACCACTCATCAAAAACATATTAGTAGCCACTAGTCTGGCATGTAGGGGTCCCACCTAATTCATCACAACCGCAAATATAGTTTCTTTTCATAAATATATTTTATTTATCAAGGGCCAAGGGAACGAAGAGTACTAGTGACCAGAGAAAAAGAAAATTTTGGAGGATAAAGGGTGAAGGCGTGAAGCATTGCAAGGACATAAATCCTTCTTCAGAATCCCAAACACAAAACTGAAACGGAGAAAGTGAGCGAGCAGTAGTGAGCAGCCGCCGCAGAGGGATATAATTATAGATAAAAAGAAACAAAAATGGCGATGTTACCGTCATCGTCACCGCCATCGTCGCTGCAGCAATTCTCGAAGCAGTTTCCTGCCGCGTTCTCTCCCATTGTCATCTTCACTGCCAGACAACAACAATCCAGGCCTCTTCTTTCTTTCTCCACTAGAGCTGTCGACCCCGAAACAAATGCTTCGTCTGATACAACCGAAGAAGCATCGGCAGCCGCAGCAGACGACGATGACAAGTTCGAGAGCCGGTTGGCACAGGTCCGGTACAGGTACAGAAGCGGCACTGGGAAAAAAGCGGAGGTCAGGAAGGGCAAGAGATCCAAGAAGGGCTCCGGTGGCGGCGTATTTCTCCCGCCGATTCCACTGAAAGAGCCAGTGTCAGGGAGACTGAAGGTAGACTTCGGATTCAGCCCTTACACGGAGCGGATAAATGGAAGTCTCGCGGCTCTAGGTCTGGCGGCACTGCTGCTGGTGGAGCTGGCCTCTGGTAAGAGCGTAATCAACTACCATACGCCTGCGATAATCTTCGTTCAGATCTATTTCGTAGCCGCTGTTTCGACGCTCTATATCAAGTACGAGAAGGAAAGAATCAGCATCTGGCCTCAATCCCCCAAAAAATCTTAAACATTTCTTCTTATATAGAATTCAAAGAAGAAGAAACACGTTAATGTAGTTCCTGTTCGTTGATCATTTCATTCCTTTCCTCCTTGAAACAATTTTTGGTTTTAGTTAATGAAATCTTCCCTTTTGACAACTCTCCATACTTGATGCAATGTACGACAACCCATTGCTCTCTTCTTGTTTTGGACATTTGATGCAACGGGTGTCTATCTATAATCTATGTTCATTCTGATTATTCCCCATTGCCATTAACAAAAAAGTGGTTCCATCGACTTAGGATCAGGATTCTTTAAGCACAGCGAGAAGTAGTACTCTAGAGGGTATTATCTCTTTCTTTCTTAAGCTTCTGAGCTTTAGTTGATTTTAATTCCAGTAGAGGTAGAAATTGTTTTTGATGAAACTGTTGAGCATAAGGAAGGTAATAGTAGTAGCCCTGCCAAAAGGGTATTCTACTCGAGATGCATGGTTTCAATTAGATACAGAACAGAACAAAAGATGATAAAACCATTTCCATCTTCCGCCTGAATTAGTAATAGTAGATCTTGAGGCCTTACTTGGATAGCCTGATTCCTGAATCAGCGTAGGACTGCAAAGCAATCAGATGATCCCTGACCAGGTCGGGGTCGGGGATGGGGAATGAGGTCCCCACCCCGCCCCGTCCCCAAATATAACATTACCCAGTGAGGGATGTTAGAGTCGTTTCAAAAAAGTCGGTGTATGAGTTACCAACGGAGGGGTGGCTCGTTGGTATGTTATTAGTGGTGCGTGGCACCAATACCAAAAAAAGAGTTACCTTGTTGGTTTGCTGAGAGACCAAGCCATGGGTACAGATAATTCTAGTTTCATATAACTGAACAATGAGCACATGCCATAAACTCTACTGCTTGATAGGGAATGTCTATAACCATTTACCACAAACAAGGAAAGTAGACCACTTTGCAATTCCAACTTAGTGTCAAAGAACTTTTTTGATAACAAAGAAATTTATTAATGAAAAATGAAGATACAAAGCCAGGTGATGAAAAGAGTCACAAGACATCATCAACAAAAAAAAAGGAAACAATCAATACATCCATCTCTCTGATTCTCTCCCACACATTAAAACCTCCCCATGCAACTCTAACAAAAAAACTGTATTTAAATTATAATGCCAACCATTAGCCTCCTCACCAATCCCCAGCAACAGACTAAAAGTAAGAACTTCCCAAAATTATACCCCGCAATCAACTTCTTTCCTTCCTCATGAAAAATCTTATCATCTGTAATCACTCTCATCCCCAATACAACGAAACTCCTTACCTCCTATCTTTTACTCAAAACTTTAAGTAAACTGTCTTTCCCTCCCCCTTATCATACGCAATTTCTACTTCAGAACCCATTTATTCATTGCATTCCCCCTTTTCTTCCTCCTCCCCCTCCCCCTATCCTTATCCCATTTCCCATAGCCTTCTAGTCTCATCCGAACAAACCCTTCACTCCTTTCAGCCCTTTCTTTCTCCTTCTTTTGACTCCCCCTGCTTCAACTTCAATGTAATCAATCATCTGATTCATCTCATTCCAACTCAAAAGCCCTCTATTCTATTATGTTTTTCCTCCTCTATCATCTTCTTTTCTCTTTCCTCAAGCTTCTCAAAAACTCTTTTGGCTGCCTCTAATCCTCCTAGGTAAAACACAATCATCACCTTTGATATCACAGTCTCTTTATCAATCACCTTCTCAGTATCATCCTTTTATTCACCTTCCTTGTTTCATCTATATAAACCTCCTGATCTTCAATCTCCCTTATTATATCTTCTAACACCTCCATTTTTCTTTCTATTTTTTTGGTCAATTATCTTTTCATACCTCCACTTCCCTCCATGTCTTCAGATTTACCACCCCAACAGCCTCACTTCCAACATCGATGTCCCTATTCTTGCAAAAAATTATATCTTCATTAATATTTTGCCTCTCCAGCTCCTCACCATTACCCTTTCTATCAATTATGTAATCTTTCCCTGCTTCATGTGGAAACTCAATTCTTGAACTAAATTCCTTCTGGTCATTGTTCAGAAATTCAACTACCTTTGTAAACCAAATACCATCCTTCATTGTCTTCCTCTTGCATACCTTTTAAACGTCTTACAAGGACCAGCCTCACACACACCATCTTTTAATCAATAAAAAACTTCTGTAATATGTACTATTCTCAGTGTTAGGGAATTCCAACACAATCAACTCTATGCATTTCAGCATATACATCCGCATGCAGGTAGCAAATCATCAATAAAATGCAGTGAAAAAATGGAAATCCACAGACCCGCAAAGAGGCAATTCAGATGAACCAGATTCTGGTCTCCAAGATGTGGTGCCAAGTGATGGTGGCCGGTTGTTCAAAATTGGATATCCAGTAGTAACACCAGGAATTGGACAATCCAAAGTGATTGTACTGGAAACAGTTACGTTCTCTGTCCCAGGAGCACAGCTAACATCAGTTTGACCATAATAATCTGCCCACTGCTTATAGTGGTGTTGTTGATAATGAAGAGGTGCCACAGCTACAGCAGTGTAACTATGAGCACTGCTCGACTCTGAAGGAATATAATTTGGATACTGTCGGGACTTGGGAGGGATAGCTTGCATAATTCCATTCATTCCACAAGTTAAGTTAGTCTGACTAGTATAGTTGTTGCTTGGGTAACCTCCAGTTGTCTAATAATCACCAGCATTATAGCAAGTGCCTGAACAACTTGTAGAGCCCACATAAGACCCTGTATTCTGAAATGAAGTAAGAGGCTGATAAGGAGCACCTGAGTTTTGATACATTCCTGCTTGTTGAGGGTACGGATGGTTGGTTTGCTGTGGATAACTGTAATAATAACCTGGATATCCTGTGTTGCAATAACCATAAGGATCAGTTGAACTTGAGTATGATGAATAGCCAGCATATTCTTAGGACACATTTACTGTTCCAAAACTGGATGAAGTAGAAGCCTGTGACACAGTATTCAAGGCTATCCTGTAAATTCTTCAGAAGCATCTTTGCCTGCTGATCATGACAATAACTCGAAGTTGAATAATTTTCGTTAGCAGATGAGCTGTTATCTGTCATGTGAATGGTCCATGATGCAGTTACAGATCTTGTTTCTGAGGGAAGAGGGGTATGCCCAAGCGTAATCAGCCCATATGAAGATGGATGTCCTTCACTGCTGTCCACAATTTGACGTGGCTGGTCAAGAAAGCAACCAAAAAAAGATGATTTTCATGTTAATCACTCGATCCTTGAATTATTACTTATTACATGTGTCAAACAGAAGTAGCTCAAACAATGCAAAGACATGAAAACACAATGGTATAATGATGATGATGATGTGTAATGCTTTGCATGCAAACGCAGCAATTGGTGTCAGCCTTTATAAGAGATTGAAAAGTTGAACATACAAATATAACCACCAGAAACCCAAATGTATGTGGAAAATGATTTGGAATATATTCTCATTTCGTAAATGCATTCTGGAACATGTTTTTAAGCTGTGTGCCTGCTAAGCTTCTTGATATTTCTGCTTTTTGTATATTCCCAGTGTATTAATGCATGCATATTAATACAATGTACTTTAAAAAAACACCCCCGAACCCAACAAGTTGATCAGACCAGAAAATTAAGAATTTGAATCACATTAAATAATGGTCTCTAAGCTCCTGAGGCCTCGTAATAGTCATAAGAAGTAATCCAAATAGATTAACGTAAGAAGTAATCCAAACCATTTAGTATTGAAAAAGAGTAACTAAAATTATGGTAATGCGTCCAATAAGTAACGTTAAGGCTTTACTGATTCAATTAAATGCAGTTCAAGTTTCAACCGATTAGTTTTGTACCCCAAAAAATATCAAAAGAAATAGAGGAAAGGAACAGTAGTAGGGGTGTAAACGGTATTTGAAAATCTGATTTCGAATTCAATATTCATTATAATTGAATCAGATTCAGATAATTTGAATATTTAATTGGTCGAATTCGGATATCCTATCTTTAACGAATAGTTAATTTGATTCGAATTTGGATATGACCTGATTCGATTCAATAAATATCCAAATTCGATCGATTATTTATTTCTTATATAATATATAAAATATTTTATATAATTTATATATAATAATTAAGTTATATAAATAATTTATATATTTATATATTTTATGTCAATAAAATATTTATTAATTATCTAAAATAATTAATTAATCGAATTCGAATCAAATCGAATATTCGAATATTTAACTGGATTCGAATTCGGATATTAATTTTCAATATCTGTCGGATATTGAATCGAATTTGGATATTGGATTTTCTAATCGGATTCGAATTTGGATATTGCCTAATCTAATTTGAACTCAATCCGTTTACACCTCAAGGAATCAGTAAGGGAATTGATGGTATGCGATCTGGAAGATGGTGCACGATTTGGAAGTTCCATGATTAAGGATAGCTTGGATGTTGGACTATGTAGGTCGCTTGGTCTAGTTATAAAGAAAGAGAAAAGATCAGAGTACCCAGGATATTTTACTCGGTGTGGGCACTCCGATGTTTAAGTCAGCGAATTGGAGTTTCTTGAGAGCTAGAAAGCAAGAGAGAGCTAGAGAGCCTGAGTGCTAAATCGTGCGTACCTTATGAGGTTGGAGGTAATGCCCTTATATAGGCGAGTTGTTGTGAGCCTCATGAAACACGTCTGGGATCTCTGGCCTGTCTGGTTCAGAGGTGAATCACGCCTAAAAGTGGACTCCGTGTAAGCAAATAATGTCAATCCAATTCTACCTGAAGCAGGCGAGGTGATAACCAAATCTTTGTGGCATCGTGATCCCGGGGAATTAGGAGGCGATAATCCACTTAAGGTGGAGGTCGCTCGACACGTCAGGTAGGTCGCTAACCAGAAACAGGTCAGATTGGTAAAATCAAGTCGCCTCTTACGCCGATCTGAGGTCTTGCCTAGCTGTTCGTAGTTTGGCCTACCGGGGTAGTGCTGAGGTCGCTGATGTAGTTGTGAAGTGTCTGAAGTGCTCCTGGGTCTACTTACATGGTGTTGAGGTGTCATTCTGTTGTTCTACAATGCCTCGTGTCATCATATCATTGGAGGACCAAATTACACCTCATCAATTGCCCCCCATTCCCAAGTCTAGCATGATCAGTCCAACGAGGGAGTAGTCTTAACCCGAGGTGATTTGGTCCGATTTCCGTCCTTGTTTGTGGTCTAACCAATGGCTCGAGAT